GAGGGTTGATTGACGTTTATTCTTCCCAGGTCCTCTTCTCCATCGACTTCTTCGACTTCGCCGCGGCCACAGAGCGAAAAGCCTAGATCGAGTGCGAGTCCAGGTTTTCTGGGTTTGATGACTGAGCTTCTCTTGCCTTGACTCGGGCAAAGTAGGGAGTGCCGACGAACTTCATGAGCTGTCGCTTGCCGGGCGTGTTCGGGGTTTTACCCTTGCAGAACTGCAACCACATGCTCAGGTGTTCCAGCGCTTCTTCCTTCGTGGCGCCTCGCTGGGAGGCGAAGCTCTGTGCGGGTTGACTTGTTCGGTGAATGTCTAGGGCATAGACCCTTTCGAGCTTGTCGTTGACAAAGGCTTCCCAGCAGTCTGGTAAAGAGAGAACTGAAATGGAGTTGTGCAGTGATTTTTTTGTTTGCGAATGCCGGCATGTGAGGGTTAGCGATTCGCTTTTCTATTAGGATATGATCCTTCCCACAGTTGACAATCCAGATGCCAGGAGCCCTCTGATTTCAGAGCTTTTGTGATGTTCGCTGTGCTGCTTTCTTCGAGACTTCAGCCTTTAAGGTGTGGATCCGCGCGGGAGTTGCGGCCTTCCTGGCATAGAAATATTGAGCGTGCAAGATCGAGAAAAAAGCCTTCTTCTCCTTTGAGAAAAAAGAAGTGCACACACATAATGCAAGAAAAGAAGATCCACAACAGAGCAACAGCTCTCACAGAAGAGAGGGTGGAAGAAGGAAGGAGTGAGACGGAGAGTGAGTGAATCAGCGTGTGCTTTAAAAGAGCGCGCCTTGAATCTGTACAGATGGCTGCTGGCGCATGGCTTCCTACATGTGATTCTCATGAGAGAGAGCGAGAGAGATCTCAGAGAAGTCGAAGGTGTAGCCTTAGAGAGAAGTGTTGTTCCCAAGTGTTTCACCCAAGCATCTCCAAATGAATAGCAGTTGAACACCTCAAAACTGAGCCCAAAACAAAAAGCCCCAGTGCTTTCGAAGCATATGTCCACCATTCTTTGTCTCTATTCTCTCTATGAAGTCTTGCGTGCTTGTCGCATCTGTTCCAATACATCTCTAGCAATGATTTTAGTGAGCTTGTATACGCGGGCAAAAGCCGAGCAAGCTCAGCCACTTCCATGCCATTGTGACATGAAAGTGTCAGCTGCCAAGAGCTTAGCCGTGGGCAAAATGCAACGACTCTCAGAGACTTGCAGTGCAGCCCACCCGGTCAGTGGCTAGTATTAGCTGGTTTGCCAAACGGAGATCCAGTAAAGATCATTCTGACAGTAGCTGCGTCACCAGGTTGCGATGGACACCTGTTCGAAGAATCTACACAAGCTGCTCCCCTGACAAAGTTAGCAGGACACTTGCCCATTTGGGTACTAGTACCACCAGCCCTCCCTGCCCCCTCCGACCCCATTTACCAATCCATGTCAGCCACCATGTGTCATGTGATCCATCTTGAGTCTTACGTGCCAAGTTGATCTGCAACGTTTTCTAAGCATCGCAAGCACAAGTCGACCTTCCCCGCGTAGCCGACTTTACCTGAGGCTGCAAGCCCTCTGGGCCATCCCTATTTCACATCACCTGTGTTCCGTGTCTTTTGTGCTCGTAGATAGGTTGTCAGCTTTCAAAAGAAGGATGCGGGGAGTTCAAGGACAAAAGTGCAGCTCAAGCACTATATATGAGCAGCACACCAGGTCTAGCACAGCATGGCAAGCACCAACCATGCACCGCCGTGGGTCAGCCACCATGCCGGCCGGTTCGAGCCCTCACAAGGCGATGTGGTTCGAGACTATGGCCGTGTAC